TGGCCGGTAATCCAACCAACATCACCACCACAGAAGTAGCGATCACCAGGGTGAATATCAAAGACGTACTTTCCGGTCATGGCACATCCAAGCAGGTATCCACCGGTAGAGTGCAAAACACCCTTAGGCTTGCCAGTCGAGCCGGATGTGTAGAGAAGGAAGAGGGGGTCCTCGGAGTTGACGGGCTCGGGGGAGATGTAGGCAGGCCACTTCTCAATCTCCTCGTGCCACCAGTAGTCACGGCCCTCGGTCCAGGGGATCTCAGAACCAGTGCGCTTGTACACCAAAACATGGGATACATCGGGGCACTGCTTCAAGGCATCGTCGACGATCTTCTTGGTTCCAATCAACTTACCACCACGCTTGCCCTCATCCGTGGTGATAACAACCTTGGATCCAGCATCGGTCACACGGTCGCGCAGGGAGTCGGATGAGAAACCGGCGAAAATGACTGAGTGGATAGCACCGATACGGGAGCAAGCGAGGATGGCAATGATGGCTTCGGGAATCATTGGCAGGTAAATGGCAACGGTATCGCCCTTTCGGACACCCATCTGCTTGAGGACCCAGGCGGTCCTGGACACTTCCCGCAGGAGCTCGCCATATGTGACGTTGCGGCCATCGGCGGGGTCATCGGCTTCGTAGATGATGGCGACTCGGTTAGGGTCTGCGTGGGCGTGTCTGTCGACGCAGTTGTAGGAAGCATTCAGCTGACCCTCGACAAACCAAGCGTTGTCTCCGTGTTCGAACGAGCCGCTGTGGACGGTCTGGAAGTCGCGGGACCAGCTGAGAAGCTCGCGAGCTTTGCGGCCCCAGAACTGGTGGGGCTTTGTGATGGACTCCTTGTACAGTTGTTGGTACTCTTCTAAATCTAGCGACGGAGACTTGTTAGCACGGTGAACAAGTGCGACCGAGAGAAGTGCGCTCAAGAGGCCGGCAGCCGGGCATCTCGAGGAGCGTGGGACATTGACCAATCAGAGCGTCGGCAATCCGGATGTCTTCTTAGAACTTACTTGAAATGTGGGGCTTGCTGGGATGCTCTGATAAGAGTGAAGCGTCAGTTAGCCAACAAAAACAATTTCAACTTCAAGCCAGTTCTGGAGTGGAGGGGCCAAAAGCATACTTTCAAACATCTTCTGGGGAGGGTCTGTAAAAAGGTCAGTATGCGCAATTCTGGTTGCCAATTCGGCGATGGGGGAATTGGTTCTTACGGAAAGTGTCGACGCCATGCGCCTCGGACACGACCTTGGCCGGTTGATCAACAACGGCTTCAGCCATTGTGACTATGTGGAATTGAAATCGGCTGAGTTGGGGTTCTCGATAATTCTTTGTCGTATCTCGTTGTACTATTCCCAACGAGTGGCTGACAACACTATATCTCGGTCTGAGGAATGAGGTAGCAGGCGGTCAAGGTGGTATCGTGGGGGTGATCTCGCGATGGTGCTGCCACCAGTACTTCGATTCTGCTGGAGGGGTCGATGCGGGGTCCGTTCTAGGTTCTCCAGTACAGGGGCCAGAGTCGCATGAATGTCACAGAAACTTGCCGGTCACTGGGCAATGGACCAAGATGATGCAAGAAGAGCCCTCGAGTTGAAGGGGACAGGAGAGAGCAGGTGGGAGAGGTGAGGAGCAGGATGAGAAATTGGCGAGCGAGACTAGTGGAGGGGCGCAGAAAGGCGAGGGGGCACGCGATACTTTTATGTTGAAATTGCGACGGGCCGGGGTACAGGAGAAGGAGCTCTCTCACGGCTGCGGAGGCGTATGATTAATGGTGTCGAGTAATGGGTACCTAGGTAGGCAGAAAGGATCCATGGATAACGGGAGTTGTCCATCCCTGGTGAAGCAGCCAATTCAGACGGCCGGCCGGTATCGCGACTCGCGCCTCTGCCACCGCAGGTCCAGGCGTAGGAACGTGGCGTGGGAGTGGGTGTGGTCGGCTACTCAGTAGTAGCCTCTAGGTGCTGGTGGACACCATCCCGGCTATCCCCAACATTCCACTCATTGGACGCTGCACGCAGGTGCCCGCTGGACTGGGAAAGATGGCGGGGCGAGCTCACTGCAGCTCTGGTAAAACTGCATGCTGAATGGATGTGCCTTTGGGAGGGAGCTCCCTGGGCTCTGGCAGCCGCAGCGACGGTGTCTTGCTGAACCCAGTCCCACCATTGGCTCCTTTTCCCCGAGCAGCGACTTGCTCCTGTCTCTCTACCACCGGCAAAACCATCGGCTCTCAAGAACCCCCTTACCACACATCCCATCGCCCACCGCGCCCTAGCCACCGTGACAGCCTATTCTGAGACTCGGCTGCTAGCCCGGCCGCCCTCCTGTCGGCCGAGCGACAGCCTAGATTGACAACCTCATGCGCTGACATCTTTTGACCAGCACGTAGAGCCATGATCATCACACGCGGCATTACGTTCCGGGCTAACCCAAAGCCTCTGATCCTCCCGCCTTTGGGGTAAGGTCATGATGCTCAATTGCTAGCCCAGCATTGGTTCCCTCGGCTGTCCCTTCAGTCCGGCCATGCTTGCTCCCCAGACAAGTACGTAGTAGCTGGGGGCAATCTGGATCTTCAAACATCCAGTTAGATGTCTGCCACCGGCCTGCATCACGGAGGGCTTCGGGGCTCAACAAATCTGATTGCTACATGCCTTTACCCAATGAGAAGCATGGCGCGTGCATGCAGGCAGGCCTGTCACGTCTAATTTATAAAAGAGTCTTCTGCGAAATCGGTCCCCGTTTTATGGAGCGTTTATGGCAGCTTATTACGTACTGCGAAGATATTCATCACCCTGAAAAACACACGATGCGCCTTTGTCCTCTGACATATGAGTTTTGGGGGGGTCTGGTAGAGATCGATGCCTTCCTGCCTGGGCTGCTCACCCATGGAAACGGACATGATCTTGAACAGCCCGAGAGCAACCTTGCAATTGTTGGGGTTTCCTGGGAAGGGAGCAAAGGAAAGGATCACGAATGACCACCTGCGCATCCCAGTCCAATAAATGCTTAGCTCCGACTTCCATTGGCTCACGGCTTGCTGTTTCTAGGATTACTTGTTGGCACCTGGGGAAACTCGCCGTAATTCTCCATGGCGGACTGCATCTACAGGAAATTTCCAAAATGATTCATCGTCCCACGACAAGGATGACGAAGAGCAGCAAGGGACCACCTACAGGGATAGTCGGTTCCACACTGCACCAAAAGCCCCATTCTGTTGGACCCTTCGTCTCTCAAGACCCCAACTCCTGCAAATTGGCTGCGATCTGACTAGAGATCCGTCCAGCCCAACACGGGACAATCGGTACAGGAGCCGGGGATGGTTCACAGGTGCTTGTTACTATGGCTGCCCATCCAGAGAACCAGTCGGCAGATGAGGAAAGCTCCCACCAGCTTGAACCACTCGCTCACTAGTAAGACGAACTACTATTTAAAGAGGGTAATGAAGGAAAACCAGGTCCTCCCCAACCCCGACGTCCCCGAGTGTGCCGGCAGCCTGCGTATCCACGCTTCCCCCGCAATCTGCCCCGTTTCTTGCCAGGGTTGTGCACCTTGAGCCACTTGAAGGCACAGACGCAGCATCTCCTGTTGCAACAACTATGGATAGCATTGTGCATATTGCCATCGTCACCGAGCGTCATTTGGAGACTCTTCGACCCCATTGGTCCTTCAGAAAATGCCATTGACCAGCGAAATCCCCACAACGCGGCAGCTGGTGTCCTGTATCGCTCCGGTCTGCTGGTTCATGCCAAACTGCGAAGGTACCCTACACGCAGCTACCAAACGTTGGATACATACAACAGCAACGATCCCATTGTGACTGTATACAATAGGACGTACGTAGGAGATGTATTGAGTTTTCCATTGGACAGGAATTCGGGTTCTTTCGCCTTCATATTTTCTCCTTCGCTCAGATGGGTGGCAAGCATCACCACATGTCTACGGTTGTTCCCGAATGCAACTTGTCACTCCGTTACCCCAGGTCCTTGTCGCCACCTCTGGTCCGGGGTTGGGACTAAAAGCATCGGAGCGCCGTGCTACCTCCCATGCTCGGTAGCTTATCAGCGATGAATCATCCCTTCCTCGGTTGGCCGCTGTGTGCTGTGGGGGTCCTGTCAACTCATCCGTTGCTCCGCCTGGTGGCCTCTTGACGCATTGGCTGGAACACTCATCTTAACCTACACTTTAATTTAAGACAGCCGTTTCTTTGATTCATTAGGACCGGAGTCTTGGCTATAGAAGAAATTTGAAAATGGCTTTCATTGACGTTCGTGTAATATTCCACAGGACTCCCGTAGTCGCTAGCAGGTCTGCTTGCCGCCCTTTGAAACTAAGCAATTCTGCGTAAACCCAATAACTCGGGTTCCTGATCTAGGGGCCGAAAGTTTCCATGCTATTGCACATGCGTTTACCGTGGCGCCGCCAAGCCGAGAGTCACACATTTGACGTCTTCGGTGCGACATCGCAGGTCTCTAACTGTCATCGCCTGCCTCTCCTATTAACAGCCTTTGATTTAATTTAATTTTCTAATCATGCAGTTGTTGGATTTGTTTCTGAATCCTTAATAAACGACAGTTATCCCTGTCATTTGAAAAGGTTCTGAGTTGTTCATTGGCAGCGACACAGGCGAGAGTGACTTCAGCTGGGGAAAATTTCTGAACTTATTGACCTCCCTATGTTTTTCTGTACATCCCGAAGCTGAGCTGCTGTTTACTACAGAAGACGGACAAATTATGACTATTAACCGATCAAATATCAAAGCAGTGGAACTATCAATGGGAAACCGGGGACCGAGAAGATGCTTATCTGGGGGCGAGCTTTGCTAGATCAATTATCCACGTTATAGGTTGCGATGACCTATTTTCAAAGTAACCCAAGCTGTCCATGATCGATACCTACGGCTCGGTAGGTTCTTTCTAGATGTATTGAGATATCTTTGGGTGATGTAACACGTAATTCTCCAGATTGATTGCGGGGCGCTCTCATCAACGTGTTCATGGGAAGTGTCACTGGCCAACCGCCATTTTCTGGCATCCTTCTTCGCTTGTGGCATCAGTTGTAGTGCAAATAACTGACGATAGAACCGTCGACGACGGCTCGCATCTGGTTAGCGCTTGCTCAACGTTGAGATTCTCCAAGTTGCCGACGCTCTCTGGAAAGTAGATGGCTTTGACCTGTATAGATGTGGTGGCTATGGCTTATAAAGAAACTACATCTCACCATGTGTATGACTGCCGGTCTCTTTCTCGTGTGTAGCGAAGCCTAATAAAGACCAATCTTGTTTGGATGGAGGACCCTGCTAAGGAGTCGGTAGAGTGTCATAGCGGTGAGGACTCAAAGCTTCGTACTGGATGAGTGTCCAACTACTTACCCTGCCATTCTGGATCACCATGCCTGTCTGTTATGGATGTATTTGTTCTGGGTGGTTTTTAGAGCGTCGTTGATCTAAATTCTAGGATATATAGACTACCTACCTAGGCACTATACAGCCGTTGAATGGAAAGTAAGGCAAACCACAATGTCGATTTCTTTCACATTCTACCTAGCTGCTCTTCACTAACCTGAAGATCGCATTCAAAAGCGATCTGATAGAAATGTCTTAATAAAGCAGGAATCGTCATCCTTTAGGAGCGCATGTTCCTGCATCTGGCGCTGTGGTACTGTGGGGGATGGTAAGGCAGTTTCTCAGTACATGTACTTGCCACCCCTTCTCCGAATCCAGGTCAATGAATTTAGACATGTATTGTCATTTGCCACATCATGTTTCGCGTTAGTCTCGGGAAGAAGTATGCATATACGTATAAATTGCTTCTTTGTTACCTTATTTCGGCAGGTTGAGTTGAAAGTAAGCTTTATGGTGGAACCGTCTGATAATAACCAACGATGATTCCAAATTCTGATACCCTGATGCAAGGTAGAGCAGGGAGTTCATTTGGAATACTTAATTTCAGATGCTATAGGCTTGAATTAGACGGAAATCCTCGAACAATCAATTAGTGTTAGACCTCGAGACTGATTATTTGTTCAGCCGCCCTTGTCTTGCGTTTATCTCGCAAGCTATCTGAGTACAACATCTCTGGTCTCGATGGATCGAAGCAAACCTGAAACATGCCCACCATCGTATAATTATTCCAGAAACATGCACCAATGAATAGTATATGCCCTCAGCACGAATCAGCCTAGCTCTCCTGACTCTGGCGGAGAAGGATGGGTATGTAGGGGGCGAGGTTGGTTAGAGGGAAGAGGCCTACCCGGTGTTCCCCTTTCAAAGTCATATTGCTAATCATTGGCATGGGAATGCATGCCTCCTAGATCACTGGTTGCTATATTACTGAAAGCGAGATGTACGAAAAAGGGTGTGCAAGCAACTGCGCATCGCATCCATGCCTGTTCCTGGGGCGCAAGGTTGCGCACTCCTCGCCCAATTCACCTACTTCACACCTAGCTGTTACGGGGGCGCTTTGCGTCAAAGAGATACACGTATTATGGACGACGAAAGGTCTAAATTCATGGATCTGGAATTGATTGCCATGGGATCGCGACTATGAGCCGCAATTAAGCGCCCATGCAAGTTGAGCAGCTTGTGAAGAGCCGGCCAAGATTTTACTAAACAGATGATTCTTCTAGATCTGACTGCAACCCGGCGTATGCTGTCCTAAGTCAATAGACGAAAATTACGAGTTTCACGAGACGTTGAACACCAATGGTAGTCTAAAGATTCACACTCCCAACCAATCAAGCTAATATCTAAGATGGATGTTTACACATATCAGACGCGGCCATCGCCTCTACTCTGTTGCAATAACTGCGGCAAAAGACGAAATACGGCCATCAGCACAGCCCAAGGCTTTTTCTTATCCTAATCTCTATTTTTGGGTGCCGAGGTAATAACCTCCTGGACATGGAATCAAGGCTGGTGGCACTGGTAGCTGCAAATCGAGACTCTCTTGTTGTTTGATATTTCTATAAACAGTCTTTTCATCTGAACTGAGCAGGGTAGTCCTCCGGCAAAGGTACCCCGGCCGCTGGGGCTCAGCATCGCCCTAGATACTCGCCTGCAGATGCCCACGAGGCATGGCCTCGTTTGGACCTGATGGGACGGGCTTCCGGCTGCAGGGGTGAAGCAGAAGATAGTATTTATGTCCGGCAAGTATACCGAAGGAGGATTAACCCCACCATTTTGGGGGCTTATACTTGGGTATATCCCACCACTTTCTTTGCGTTAATGACGGAGTGCGGTGAGGAGGATTGAGAGCGTGCATGTCTGGGCTATGCAACAACCCGACTCGTTTGGTGGTGGAAAGATATGAGTCAACCGGTATGTACCATAACGGCTGACCATAACGGCCGACTCGAGACAAGGATACTCATGTACTGATATGAAACGGGCGAGTGACAGAAAAATCGAGGCGTGGGGTTCACATTGCTAGGTATGCTCCTCAGCTCAGCCCTATTGATGATTACCCCCAGGATACCTTCAATGCTTAGGACAAATACCCTCATTGATAAGGCTACGGGACGGGTGTCCGATGGAGAAAAAGATGTTTAATATAGAAAACCCAATTTCCAAGCACATGGCTGGCTCGCAATGCTACCTCTTGGGCGGATAGTTGGGGGCTGTGCAGTGTGTAGACTGCTCGTCGTGTTTGGTCGTGTTGTGACTTACACTCGCCCTAGAACCTTTGCCGGAGCTCCAGAGTGCACAGGATGCTGATTCGCCGCAGCTCCATACCGGCATGTAACCTTAGGCACGACTTACCGTCCAGTGGAGGGATTGACTTTGATGCTAGTACCTTAGCAGTTTAGGTGCTGGTACCTCACTCCCGTATCCATTCGTTGAGGTTGCCTGCTCCGTAGAATTCGTCAGCGCCTGAGCGTTGGCATACCGCCTATTAATTATTCCACTGTGTGCATGGAGACAAAACAAGCATGTCTACCTAGTATATACCAGACGACAGGAGGCAGTGTACTGTCGCCATAGGAAGAGAAATGATATGGAAGACATTAGATTGATGTCAATATCTACGGACTGGGTTGTGCCTCCAGTGGCTGGGCGGGTTTCTGTGTCCCGCCCGACCGCTGTAGTGGCCCCGGTGCCGCTAATCATTGGCAACGGGCGTGGCCCGCTAATTAACCCCTTGTGCTTAATTGCCCTACCGGCCAACTCTGTTCGCTGCGCCTTCTAATATCCCCTTAGGACCCCAGATGAATTGCTGAGATCCAGTCGTGGAAGCAGCCGAAGGGGCTTTGGCTGGGGGCTATTGTGGAGCGTGCCGAATCCTTCCATGTCGTCGAACAAAAGCTGGAGCAACTACCCTGCCGTGTACGGAAAGTCCTGCACGTATGTCAGAAAGGGATCGAGAAGAAAGCGGGCTCATCAATTGTTCTTTTCAGTCGAGGCAGATTTAGTGTTGCAGGGCTGTCGGGAGCGGGAAGAAGGCCTCCCCCCCTACACGGCATAAGACCGCGACGCAACGTGTGACATGTGCACTTGCATCTGGCGGTGGGCTGCGGCTGAGCCTTCTGACCCAACCGTGCAGCTCTGGCCCCGTCTCACTGCCACCCACTGCCTTGGAGCTGAAAGGGATCGGCTAGGCGTTAATTAAATTCTGGAAATTATGGACGGCAGGAGGGTGGGTGGTTTGGCTGATGGGAGGTACCGGCCTGGTATGTTTGAACGCACGCGTAGCATAGGGCTGCATCTCCGTGGAAGTCGCCTTTTGCTTCTGCCGGGTGTCACACACGTGATGACTTAGCTCCCCCTCGCCAGGCAACTGTCGAGATCGAGTAATTACCTGTTTCTTTCTGCGTTTATTTTGCCATAAACGGCGGGTTGATTTGTCCCGCGTCATCCACACCACACCCCTCCTCACCCCTCCCCCTTTGACCAGACGGACGGACAGACGAAGCCAGGCCTGCGTTGCATCTTCCCTGCCTCCATGGCACCGTCCGTTTTCGTTGTCCACGTCCGGGGCATTTCAATATATATCTAGGCCCCCGTACGCACCCGCGCTTGGTTGTAGACTAAGCCTGGAGACAATCGTAAAGATAAACATCCGAGACCAAATTCACTTTTCCGCCCAAGCCCCTCACCATATTAGACGTTGAGCGCATGAGGAGCAACTGACGTATCTTGCTTCTCCTCCCATCGACATATTCTTCATTCACCCTCACTTCATCCCACACACCACCTAGATGGGGACTTACCTCGCCATGGACATGAACCACCAGCTGTCGCCCTCATTGCTGGGCTACAGCGCACCGGACTTCGACCCTTATCCCTTCCCACCGGAAGACGAGCTTTACTTTCAACCGCCTTCGGGGCAGATTCTCTCACCACAATTGCAGCTTGGCATAGTCCCGCCGCCCCCTCCACCATGCAATTTCTCAGACTCCTCCGCCGGCGAAAAAGCAACCACGCCGAGCTCTGATTGCGTCAACTCTGAGATTGTTCGCAAGAATGCGGCCAAGCCGAGACTGGAGCGGAGGGGACACACGAAGAGTCGCCGGGGATGTTACAACTGCAAGAGGAGGCGCATCAAGGTACGTTCCATCCGACAAACCTCGCGGTGACCAACAACGCGACTGACAGCCCGGCGGACTAGTGCCAAGAGACACAACCAGCGTGTGGACATTGCGTTAAGACGGGATTGAAATGCGAATATCCCTCTCTTCCTCAAATCACCCATCAAGTAAGTGGCTTTTCGTATTAGATTACAGTGTTCCATTTGCTAATCGTCTCGCGTAGCCTCACAACCAGATCCCCATATTCAGTCTGCAAGATATGCGCCTCTTCCAGCACTTCCTCACCCAATGCTATCCACATCACCCATTGAAACAGGAAGAAGTCTGGACACACGAAGTACCCTGCATCGCTCACAATGTATGGCATCTACCAAACTATATTTTCAATGCCCTGTTTGGTTTCTTTGCTGACAAGATGTCCTGTAGCACGAATATCTTATGCATGCTATTCTTGGCTTTGCAGCATCAGAGCTTCAATCGACAGATAGCAGCCTCTTAACAGCCGCCGTTAACCATCGAGTCAAGGCGATCAAAGCCATCAAGAAGCGCCTTGCTGATGCCGCGAGATCCATCTCTTCTGCTGAGGAGACCAATGCCATGATCGCTACCTGCTTTGCTCTTACATTTCAATCAGTCAGCTTGGATGATGGATTGGCAGAGTATATGACCTTTATTCGCGGTATCCTGATTGTGGGGATGCAGATGATGTTCAGAGGTATCAAACCTATCTTCACTACCCTCATGGACGAAGAGCAGAAGGAAAAGCTTTTGGAACCCTTGATGGAAACCCTGCCCTTGATCCAGAGGGGATGGGCGGATTCTGCCCTTGAGGCGATCGGCAGTTTACGACCACTGTGTATTGAACAG